CTGGAGTCCAATAAATATGTAAATATATTTTAAAACTATCAAAACTACTGCTAAACTAGTTCATCTTTATGGATATTAAGAGCAATAAATAGATTTAACAAAAATTTCCTCCTTTTTTAAAAAAATGTGGTAAACTGCTGGGCTATGTTTTAACTGGATAACATTGTGGTGTTTTTTTTTTGTTTTTTTTTTGTGAGGAGGACCAGCCCTGAGCTAACATCCAATGCCAATCCTCCTCTTTTTTGCTGAGGAAGACTGGCCCTGGGCTAACATCCGTGCCCATCTTCCTCTACTTTATATGGGACGCCGCCACAGCATGGCCTGACAAGCGGTGCGTTGGTGCGCGCCCGGGATCCGAACCAGCGAACCCCGGGCCGCCGCAAAGGAGCGCGCGCACTTAACCGCTTGCGCCACCGGGCCGGCCCCAACATTGTGGTTTTTTGATTCACCTAGAATTTGTTCTTATAAAACATTAGGAAGAAAAGAGAGGGGGAAAGGGTGGTTACTTTTAAACTCATATACCTAACAGCTGAGAGGAAATATAGCAGAATCTTTCCCCCTTTTACTTTTCTGCATATTTGGATGGTAAAGTAGTAGGAGAGCTAGAACATTTCTTTTGAATTTTTAATAACATTAAAATAAGTTACTAACAATGAATGAGGTAGAATTTTGGACTTTTCTCATCCTCAGCAACTGGCAGAGACTTCTAAATAGATATTCCTAAACTGCTCCATGTTAGCATGGACATAAACCTAGGGAGCATGCATAACACCGTTGAGCTTATAGTACCTTTCACGTGTGTGTAGTTTACAGCTTCTGTTCCTATAAAATAAGGATCATTACACATACTTCATAGAGAGAATATGAGGATCAAATGAGGTAATGTATTTGGGAAAAATACAGACATGCAAGGCTGTAATTATTGCTAGCATAAAATTTAGAGAAGGTAAACTTCTCTAAATAAGGCTCCAAAACTTTTAAGGAACTTGAAAAGAATATTCTGCCCACTATAGAGCTAGTTTCACAACAGTGAGAATTTTTACCTAAGATTCCTAAGAAGTGCACACAAATTGTGGAAAGTAAATGTAATTTTGCTGTGCTTTAGAAATAGGAATTTAGTAGGTCTGGGTTGTAGAACTGAGGAAAAGATAATTTATGATTTTTCAGAAGAAGAAAATAAAGGAAATATAGACAAGTGAGGCAAAAGTAGAAATAAGAATAAACAGAAGTGTATAATGGGGGAATAGAGTAACTCCCAGTTTGTGTAGCATGCCCCATTCGTTTCCCGTCATGGGAGGAAGTGGTTCTGACCTGTGGGTTGGCTAAGGCTGGGGTGGGGCAGAGTGGGATGTAGGAAAGCTGACTCCTGCTCAGTGAGTCCACATTAGATTTCTAGAACTTCACTTCCCCTCTGGATTTTGAAGAACTAAGTAGGCTACTAAACCATCCATGCAATGTGGTAGTCTTGATCTCATAGTCCTTGATGAGCTTTGCCACAGTGCTGGTACTGTCTCCTAGGAAATATTGTTTGGATAAGGCTGCCCACTGCAAGGCAGATGGTCTCTAAAGGAACAAGTAACAATATTGGACTGGAGGGAAGGGGCCCCTCTTTGGGGATTGGAAGGGATGGATTTGAGAAGCCCAGGAGGGAATGGGGAAAGGACAGTCTTGGCATAATCTGTTTGTACTTCAGATCACCAGTTACATTTTCTCATGAAGACTCTAAGATGTTGAAAGACTGCTTTTACTCATGCATACTTGAATACCAAGGAGCACCTCAGGTAACTAACTGCCTGGAGAATTTTATGCCTGGACAGGCCATCTACTCCCCACAAACATGAGGGTAGTGAGTGGGCTTCTGCTGGGTCATCCTTCCTGACAGTCTCCATTAACTCAGATCACCTTTCTCATTAGTGTCCAGAGTCTACCTGGTTGCTTCTGAGGTTGTCTTTTCTTCTTTTTAAAACTAAGGCCTGCTGGGGCCGGCCCCGTGGCTTGGTGGTTAAGTGAGCGCGCTCCACTGCTGGCGACCCGGGTTCGGATCCCGGGCTCGTACTGACGCGCTGCTTCTCCAGCCATGCTGAGGCCGCGTCCCACATACAGCAACTAGAAGGATGTGCAGCTACGACAGACAACTATCTACTGGGGCTTTGGGGGGAAAAAATAAATAAATAAAACTAAGGCCTGCTTTTACAATGTTGATTGTGTTTGGGTCTTTTCTATAGGGAGGTTTAAGGCCTGCAGCCTTTGATTATCATAGTTTTGTTTTTAGAACATGTATTCTTTTTTTTTTTTTTTTTTGTGAGGAAGATGAGCCCTGAGCTAACATCTGTTGCCAATCCTCCTCCTTTTGCTGAAGAAGATTGGCCCTGGGCTGACATCCATGCCCATCTTCCTCTACTTTATATGTGGGATGCCACCACAGCATGGCTTGATAAGCAGTGTGTAGGTCTGCCCCCAGGATCTGAACCTGCAAACCCTGGGCTGCCGAAGTGGAGTGCGTGAACTTAACCACTACACCACCAGGCCGGCCCCAAGCCTACATTCTTTAAATCATAGGTCGCTTTAATTCTCTCTCTCCATCTAATTATCACAAATTATAATTTCAAGGTAATAAATAACAATGATTGATTATAATAAAGTTGCAACACATACTGTTATTGTCCTTTAATGGAAAAAAAGTTAGATATATTAAGTTCTTTGTGAAAATCTCATTTTCTTCATTGGCTATCTATGAAGACCAAAAAAAATTCATAGAGAGAAACTTCTACTTACATTCTGTTAACACTGCTCACATCTTACAAATGCATGTTGCGAGTTATCAGTAGTCAGTCTAAATATACTGTCAGCCATCTACTTATCACATAAATATTTATTGGGCACCAACCATGTGCAAAACATAAAGACACACTATTTATCTTTAGCATTTATGTTGTAATTCTATAAGATCAAAAATAATTGGTGATTACTTATTCTATCTATATATGTATCTGCAGAAGATCTATTCTACAGTCTCAGGGATAGAGACCTGGGAATCAAGGAAATGGGTTCTATTCTTGGCACAGTCCCTGACTTCTGTGTGACCTTGGCCAGTTATTTAATCTGTGCTTCAATTTCCCCTTCTGTAAATGGTAACTGCCATGCTTCCCCTTTCCTATAATACACAGCTATTAATGAGTGAAATGAGAAAAATCACTTAAAATTATGGTTTCTTCTTTCAAAAAAGCTTGAAATAATTTCCTCATTGTTGCACACTATTTCCCTTCTGCTTCTTATAAATTATAAAGCAATTTGACCTGAGGATTAACTCTGAGGATCAGTGCCAAATTAACAGAAAAAGTCAACTATAGAAAAGTAGAATGGTTCTAAGAAAAGTGTTACATGTAGGTATGTATTCTGTGGTACAGAATTGACTCAGTAATTATAGCATTAATAATTACTCATTAAAAAAAAATGCGTGGCTCCTCCACCATCATGTCAACCCATATTTTCTTCAGTGCCAACCTGGACTACCTTTGCCAGTGTTGGTTCAGCCCATACAAATGAATGCATTATCATACTTTGCCCAGTTAGCCCTAAAGCCATGCTTGCTTTATTTAGTCTTTTGCCAGTGAGTCCCTTCAGAATGCGAAAAATGTATTTGGATTCTCAACTCATGTAACGTGGAGGGGCTAGAGTATTCCTTATTACTTTTTAGCCAAAATGGTGGATTTTCTACGAAAAATCTAGTAGACATATATGGAATCTCAAGGAACTGCTTCCAAAACTCTAAAGTAAGTCAGATCTGTAGCCTCAAATAATTACATGCTTTAGAAGTTTAATAGAAAATAATATTCCCTGCCACACAATTTGATGTTCCATTTCTGAAACACTCTTCATCTGCCCCAGCAGTACTGTGGGGAGTCTAGAGACAGCTGACCAGGACTAAGTGTGGTTTGCTGCGTTTGTGTGTGTGTGTGTTGGGGGGGGGGGGAATGGGTGGCCTACAAAATAAGGGAAGGCAGAGGCATCTAGAAACTCTGAGAAGAGCTTGCCTAATTGCATCTCTCTATTGTTTACGTCAGCAAATTGGCAAAGAAAAGAAGGCCTGAATCATTAGGGATGTGCTACGGATAGATCATTTGGGAGAAACAAAGTTTTGTGCATCAATGGGGTATGTAAAATTAACAGGACAAAAACAAAACAATTGGTAGTTAATTAGAAATGTACTCAAGGACTCAAATTTAATTGACTGCCAGCAGGAATGTCTATTCTTTTTATGCTGAAACAGTTTTATGTCCCATATTCTGTTTTCTAGCTACAAAATGAAAGTTTTAACAATTTCAACATTAAAAAAGTCAGTGCATTCTGGGGGCTAAATGTAGGTCAAATGTCAGAGGGAAGCTGTAATTTAAGACCTCCTCTTTTGGAAATATGATCACATACCGAATGTTTTAATATTTATCACACTCCTCTTTAAGTATATATACATTTTGTATCCATGTGTCTCTTGACATATATTCTGTGCAGTCTGTGCATAGGTATGCAGACTCAAGCCAGGCATGCTACAGAGAATTTTAATTTGCAACACACAAAACCTTGAATCAAAATGGAGACTTTAGAGAAGACCGCTTCACCAAAGACCACTTCAGCACGACTTTGAGCTTGAACAAATAACCGAATAAATCTGGCCATCTTATACAGGAGGCTTTCATCACAAGCCAAAGTGAATGTGCACTTACTAATGAGAAACTTCTTGCTTTCTGTTATATAATTACTGGATGAGGAAGTGCATGCTGCCCAGAGTGAATGTTCAGACAACAGCCCTTATTAATATTTCGTACAAAGTCCTGAGAACAGAGCACAAGTTCATTTGCCAAATGCCTCTTTGTCACTTTTCTATGCTTTGTGAGATTTTCCTCTTTTTCCCACTCTTGATACAGTAAGTCTGATGAATAATTGTTTCTAATGAATTAACTGTCTCCTGTAATTGCTGTCAAACATTTCATTATGTGTTTAAATTAAACCAAAAGGCTGAGTCATAGGAAGTCTACACTGGATGGTTTTTATAGGGATCTTTTGAGCAAAATAAAGTGTAGCTTCCCAAAAATAAGAATACCAGAGGTAGTGACGCACAATTTGGGAATATTCCTTAAGAAGATTGGCAGAACCTCCCAAATTTTCTTTGGCCATATTAAAGGATTTTTAAAAAACTGAATGAGCATTTTCATTACTGAATCTAGAAACTAATGCCCTGACACAAGATCCTTAGGTTATAGATAAATAGGACAAATCACTTAGAAAACATGCACCTATTCTTGGAAATCTACATTTCAGTTATATCTCCATTGCCTTAGTAGATTGTTTCTTGAACTATGAACTCTAGTCTGTGGTTTTAATGTAACCTCACTGCACTTTTAGGTGAAAAAGCAGAACCTGCGCATTGAGAAGATGGAAAGGGTGTGATAGATTTAGACTATGGCTCAGGTAGTGCCTTATAATGAGCTTCATGTCACTAAACCTTGTTTCTTCATACTTTCTCTAGAAGCCTCACAGGATGTTTTATCACCTTGAATGCAGGTGTCTACTTAATGATAACAGCTGTAATAGATTTAATCAATGAATCCTTTCTAGTGCCAAAGCCGTGTCCATCCCTTTACATACATTATCCATAATCTGGACAAGACTTCTACATAATGGACATAATATCCCCATAAGGGGAAGCTGAAGCTCAGAAAGTTATTTCTAAGGTGTTTTCGGATCATGGAATAAAAGAGGCTAACGAGGTTGGCATTTCATATGGTTACTTTTCATTGGCGTCCCACAAGACTCCTCAAAGTGGATTCCTGTGGGTTCCCAGAGGAAGGAACAGAAATCCCTGAGGGGACAGGTTTGGGAGAGCACTGCCTAACCTATTAGGTTTACTCGTATCACCAGTGATCCCACAGAGTCCACCTGTTGAGTTAGAGTTGTTGAGTTAGAGTTGAACTGAGACTCGGAGAGGAAAGGAGAAAGAGGTTAGCAGCAATTGAGAGAATTTGACTCAAATTTCACAGTGTCTTCAGGAACCAGTGATGACCTGCAGGTGGTTCGGGCTCCAAAACCTGCAGGTGGGAGTAGACCCTTTGAGGGGGTATAAACCCCAATGGGATGAGCAGGTCTAAATAAGACCGACCTCTCAAGGGTGGCAAGCCAAACAGCTAATTGGCACTTATTTGTGCCAATTGTTTCTCTCTGTGACTTTCTCACCATGCAGGGGTATTTGATCTCTTGCAGGGAAGTCTCATTCCCTCATTTATTGTTTGGGATTAATTTTCTGGATCAGGATTCAGCAAGCACTCAGCCCTCAGTGGGCCTCACAAAGCTCATAGATGTTTAGGCAGGAGACACAGGAGATTAATCAAAAGAGATGAAGAAGGAGAGGCCACAAGAATATAAAGGAGAAAGCACAAGCATTTACAGTTGATGAATGAATGAAATGAGGACATGGAGGCTGCAAATTTCAGTCTCAGCATGCCTTGATCTAGTCACTTTGAATGATTATTTCACTTAGAATTTAGGAATTTTAGAGATAAAAAAGAACTTGTTTTATAGATGAGAAACTGAGGCTCAAAGATAAATAATTATCCCTCACTTCATAGCTAGTTAATGGCAAGCCCAAGACTAGACTCAAGTCTCTGGTTTCCTGTTTATTATTCCTGTTTATTCATATTTTCACCATAATGCTATACTGAGTCTCCAGGGGAGGTGCTTATAATCTGGTTGAATAAATGAACCAACATGGTTTCAATGGATGGTAGATGGTGAGTACTGCAGTTTAGGGCAAGCACCATGGAGGAAGTAAGATCTGAGTCCCTTTAGGTGACTTTAATGATGGGTAAGTACTGGACTGTTAAATGGAAAGGGAGAGGGACACAGATGTGATAGAGTGACATGGGGATAGGAATGGATTGAGGAGTTGAAGAGAACATGCTTAAAGAGTAATTTGGCTGGCTTATCAGATTTGGGCTGAGAAAAAATAAAAACCAAAATTGGAAAGGTAAGTTTGGATCTGACGTGGAATTCTTGAATGGAGGCTAAATAGTTGAGCCAGTTGGTCATTCTACTTCAGCTCACCTTCCCTGGCTAATGCCTAGGTATTCTGCCACCTATTGACCACAGGCACACCCTGTCACTGTTATAGACTGATGGACTTTCACAGACTCATTGTTGGTGGTCTTCTTCCCGTGGCATGTCTTCAGCATGTGTTATGTGCATTGTATCCCTGAAACTTTGCCTTCCATGTCTGAAGATCAAGGCCTTAAAATCCAAGAACTTGGATTTCCACTCATGCTTTTTAAAAAGTTATATGGGTGCACATTATCCCATTTTCTTAGGCCTTTAATGTTCCATATGCCTTGTCCTCATTATTGAAAATTATGTAAGATGATCACTGATTGCTGTCTTATTAAGAAATCCTCTCGTGCATGTGAAAAATTCTTTGGATAAGTAAAGTGAGGAAAACAAAAATAGGTATTTAGAGACAACTTAGAGCCAAATAGAAGATTACGGTTAGTAGAAGACTGTACAGCTTAGTATTTCTATTTTTATTTTCTTTATAGCTGAAAGTTATTAAGCACTTATCTATAGGATGTTAAGTGCTTAATATGTGCTTTATATGTATTATCTCATTTAATTATTATAGAACTTCTATGAGGCAGATACTATGATTATTACCATTTTCTAGATGAGGCACAAACAGTTCAAGTACCTTGCTAGGAAACCAGTTCTGATTGACATGTCAGAGATTCTAAATGAGTGGCCTTCTAGCACATCATCAACCAGGCTCTTGGTCACTACTAGGATTCTGTAAGGACTACTTAGACATTAAAATGAGTAATCTTTGGTCAAAAGCTCATGATCCAGAAAGCAAATATGTCTTGAGGAGCCTGTGTTATGGAATCAAGAGCCAATTTTTTTCTTAATGATAGTTTTCTTGTTACTGATTTTTTTTTCAAAGATTTGCCCTGAGCTAACATCTGTTGCCAATCTTCCCAAAGCCCCAGTACATAGTTGTATATTCTAGTCGTAAGTCCTTCTAGTCCTTCTAGAAGCTGCCGCCACAGCCACGTGAGCTGCCGCCACAACATGGCTCCTGACAGACAAGTGGTGTGGTTCCATGCTTGGGAACCAAACCCAGGCTGCCGAAGCGTAGTGCACCAAACTTTAACCATTAGGCCATCAGGGCTGGCTCTTGAGCCAATTTTAAAAGGTGTTAGAGGGCTGGCCTGGTGGCATAGTGGTTAAGTTCTCGTGCTCCGCTTCAGTGGCCTGGGATTCGTGGGTTCAGATCCTAAGCGCAGACCTAAGCACTGCTCATCAAGCCATGCTGCGGCAGCGTCCCAAATACAAAATGAGGAAGATGGGCACAGATGTTAGCTCAGGGCCAATCTTCCTCACCAAAAAAAAAAAAAAAAAGTGTTAGGATGAAAAAAGGCAATATAGTCTAGAGTTTAAGGACATGGGCTCTGGAGCCTGAATCCTGGTTCTGCCACCTACTACCATTTACCAGCTGCGTGATTCTGGGCAAAACAAACCACCTCTCAGGGTCCGAGTTTCCTGATCTGTACCATAGAGATAATAGCACTGACATTGTAAGGTTGTTTGGGGAAATTAAATGAGATAATATATATGAAATACTCAACCCAGTGGCTGGTGCCTTGCAAGTGCTAAGTTTGTTGCTGAAAGTTGTCCAGTATTTTTAGGTTGTTCTGGGGCTGCCTATTGCAAAGCAACTTCCTTCTGAAGTGGTATCATAGACATACTAGTATCTTGTGAAAGCTGACAATAATCTAACAAAATGATCCATGCTCTTAGGTTAATGTTCTCCCAGGAAACATGCTTACATGTTTGGACAAAGCTTCTGACTATGGTGATTTACTCCAAAGAAATTAAGATGGGACAAGAAATGGTAGAATTTTCAGATTATTCAGGAAATTAGAGGAGTTATCCTGGATCTACTCATGTTTGTGAATTCTACCTCAGCTATTCGAATGCTCATTGACCCAAGTCTTGTCCAGCCTATAGTAGCACATGGGCTCTTGACATTTTACTGGCTTGTGCTCAGTTGTATTCTGATATTTTCCATGTATTTGACTCCTCTCTTCGATAAACATAGATATTCCTTAATAACAGAAGGAACTAAATCTTGTACTTCTTTCAGAGAACATGATTTTATTTCTTAAATGGAATATATGTGAACAAATTATTTTTTATTTCAATATAATGATGCTAGTAATTATGGGCCAATATTTTTGCCTACCCTTGAAGAAAGGAGAAGACCACTGCTGGTTAGTTTTCCATTTTCTATTAGACCAGAAGATGCTTCCCCACATGTCAGCATCATTGCCTAAGTTGAAACTGTCCATGACTATCAGTCTGTCAGATACTGATACTGCAGTAATGAGTTTGTCCAGGTCCCAGGCAGATCCTCTGTCTTCATCAATACTCCTCATTGTGAATAGAGAGGCACTGATGGTGGTGACATAGTGCTTAGTTGAGGGGGTATGTGTGAGGTCATTTAAGGGTCAGCAGTGCCCCTTTTTTCAGCACATTTAAGGTAAGTGATAGAAGGCAGGGTTGACACCTGACATGAAGTTGAGTCCACATCTAGTCAGGCCATTATCAGGAGTCACTCTTCTCATCAGGCAGTCAACTGAGCAAGAGACATGTGTGCTCTTCTACTGTCACCAGGTGGTTGGGCTAGGCACTGAGGTTATAATGATGAATAAGACACAGTCCCTGCTCTTAAGTAGCTCTCAATCTAGTCAGATAATAAAATGACAGTAACATTAACGATCTGTCTACTGTGTCCCAGGCACTGTGCTAAGCATGCTACACAAATTAATTCATTTAGTATCACTCTAATGTTTGCTGATGCAAAAGGATCTTCTTTAAATTATTTTCCTTCTGTTTATTTTTTAACCCCTATAATAAAACTAGTAAGACATGGTAACACACAGTGACTTCTTTTGAGTTGGCAATTTTAAGAACAC